AGAGAGAGAGAGAGAGAGAGAGAGAGAGAGAGAGAGAGAGAGAGAGAGAGAGAGAGGTGTTGAAGTGGGGGGTATCTCTTCGCATCGTCTGTATAATTTTGGTTTCTGGTTATCAAGCATCCCTGCTTGCGGCACTCTTGGATTTTCTTTTCTTTGGTTGATGTATTGGTTATCTTTCCCCCTCTCCCCCTTTCTCTTCTTCTTCCAGTACAATAATTCCAAAATTGATTGATCACTCGAACGACTTGCATGAAGGATTGCCGATTGCAAAAATAAGGGAGTATGAGTATGGGATGAACGCCCTGCTGATGTATGGAGAAATATATGTAACCTCGCCCATTTTTGGTATGATCATGTCTTTGTATATGCGGCGGTGATTGACTGTGTGGTTTTGCGTTAAGCCTGTTAAAGTTGTCTCCCTGAACAAACCTGGGTCGAAATAAGATGCATGTATAACCGGTAGGTTACGATCTGCATATAGGCCTGAGCGTGGGTGGGATCTTCCTCATACATGATCCACGGGTGATTGCATGGGAATGTTTTTTTACTTTCCTTTTCCTTTTGCCCGTCGAACAACCATCTGATTCATAAGGTTGATTCGGATCCGGTGGGAGCAGATCATGTACCAGAACGATGGTCATCACATATACGCGTGTCTGCATGACCCGTCCCTGACTCCACCTCTTTTTGCACGACCAAATGTATGAGTTAAGTCCCTCTTGCCAAATATGGATATCGACGTTCCATTCTGGGTCACTGACCATGCCTGTCTGAGGAACCCCGAGTACCGAGAATACTGGGAGAACGAACAACTCTTCCGCCGATCGAATTTAAGGCTTCCGGCCTACCCATGCCAAACCGAGGGCGATCGGCTGTGTGCCTGGGACTTTCACACGGCCATCGGATGGAATTCCCGACTTTCACAGGGCCATCGGACGGAATTCCCGAATCCCGGATTACCCTGATACCCACAATCATCAATACTACATCACCCCGGGATTCGTCGCCATTGAAACCAACTTCCCTCCGTTCTATCTCCTTCTCCCATATCATCATCTACCGGTTCCCTTGGGAATCGATAGCCCCCTGCTGGCCCTGAAGGTCGTGTTCCGAGTGCCCGCAGTACAACACTTACCGAATCGTGGGATTCGTGCGACGAACCTGCTCCGAAGTTAAGCACTGAAAACACG